GGGTCGCCTAATACGCCGGCATATATGGTATTATGATTGGTTCATCACAGTCAGCCAGATGTTCAAACTGGATTTAGCATTTTTGTCTAACTATCAAATTCTTCCCGAGTACCTGGGATAGACAGATGTGGATGTTTTATGATGTTAGAGGCAGGGGTAGGCAACCCAAAACACTTAAAGAGCCACTTGGACCCGTTTCCCACCAAAAACAAAACACTGGGAGCCGCAAAACCATTTTGATATCTAAAATGAAGATAACACTGCATATATCCTTTTTTACCTTTATTATAGGTGTGTGTATACACACACACACATTAAAAATAAAAGTAAAAATATGACTCTTGGGAATATCCATACTATTAAAACAATGATCACCAAGAGAATGCTTTAAGAGAATAAAATTACATACACACAAAGGTAAAAAAAGGATATATGCAGTGTTATCTTCATTTTAGATGTCAAAAGGGTCTCTCTCTCTCTCTGTCTCTCTCCCTCCCTCCCTCTCTATCTGCCCTTGGTCTGCCTGCTACTCCTCTTCCCCCGCTCTCTTTCTTTCTCTCTCTCTCTCTCTTTCCTCTCTCTCTCTCTCCCTCTCTCTCTTTCTCTCTCTCTCTTTCTCCCCCCCCCCTCCTATCTGCTGCTCACCTGACAAGCTTCAAGCTGTTGTCCAACAAGATAAGGGGTAGACAACCTCATCTCTTTTATGACTCATGGACTTCAACTCCCAGACTTCCTGAGTCAGTCTAGCTGGGCTAGCTAGCTCTCTCCTGCCCTTCCTGCTTCCTGCAGAGACGCAGCAAAGGGAGGAGCTCCGCCCAGTAAGCTTTTCAGCTGCTCGGAAAACACTGTGAGTCCACTCTCTTTTACACACACACACACACACAAACACACAAACACACACAGAGAGAGAGAGAGAGAGAGAGGGAGAGAGAGAGAGAAGCAGGGAAGCACAATTCCTCTCTCTGTCTCTGTCTCTCTCTGCAAAGGCAGACGAGGCTGGGAACCGCAGGGGAAGGCTCAAAGAGCCGCATGCGGCTCCGGAGCCGCAGGTTGCCGACCTGTGTTAGAGGTATCGTCACAGGATGTAAGCTGTTCCAAGTAAAGCTGCCTTCTGCAATTGACCGATGGGGATTTTGCCAATGCCAGTGGTGTTCAAGTGGTGCTCTATTATTATGGTTCTTGGCACAGTCAGCCAGATGTTCAGACTGGGCTTGGCATTTTGGTCTAAATATTAAGCCCTTTCCAAAGACCTAGGATAGGCAGATGTGAATGCTTGATGGTGTTAAAAGTATTGTCTCTGGATGTAAGCTTTTCCAAGTAAAGCTGACTTTTGCAATTGACCATTTGTCAATGCCGATGGTGTTCAAATGGTGCTCCAGATGTTTTGGGATTGCACCCGAGGCACCTATCGTTATGGGTATTACCTTTGCTTGCCTTTGCCACAGTCATTCTATTTCTTTTTTGCAGCTCTTTTGTGTTTTATGATCTTCTCCAGTTCTTTCTCTTCTCTTCTGCTGTCTCCAGGTACTGCCATGTTCAATATCCAGACTTTTTTGTCTTGCTTATCTGTTGTTGTTAAGTCTGGCGTGTTGTGCAGCAAGTGCCTGTCAGTTTGAATTCTAAAGTCCCAGAGCACTTTTGGCTTCTTCATTTTCTGTGCCTTTCTCTGTTTTATGGTTCCCACCAGGCAAATGATATTTCTTGCAGATCTTCCAATGCACCATTGTTGCTACTTTTGTCATGCCATTATTTGTCGTCAGTCTGTGCGATCTTCTCACAGCATCTAACCAGAGTTAATTATTATGATTTGTCTCATACTCAGCCAGATATTTAGACTGGATTTGACATTCTATCCACTCACTGAGTCTTTCCCAAGGACCTGGGATGGACAGATGTTCTTTAATAACATTAAAAGTAGTGTCACGGGATGTAAGCTGTTCCAAGTAAAGCCGCCTTTTGCAATTGGCCGATGTGGATTTTTGCCAGTGCCCATGGTTTGTAAGCATTACCACTTGTTTTGGGATGGCCTCCGAGATGTCTATCGCTACTGTTACTATTCTATAGAATAGAATAGAATAGAATAGAATAGAATAGAATAGAATAGAATAGAATAGAATAGAATAGAGCTGGAAGGGACCTTGGAGGTCTTCTAGTTCAACCCCCTGCTCAGGCAGAAAACCCTATACCATTTCAGACACTTGACTGTCCAATCTCTTCTTAAAAGCCTCCAGTGATGGAGCACCGGCAACTTCTGAAAGCCAGCCATTCCACTGATTAATCGTGGAAGGATAAGAAACAATGGTTGGAAGCTGATCAAGGAGAGAAGCAACCTGGAATTAAGGAGAAACTTCCTGACAGTGAGAACAATTAACCAGTGGAATAACCTGCCTCGAGAAATCATGGGTGCTCCATCGTTGGAGGTTTTTAAAAAGAGACTGGACAATCATCTGGCCGAGATGGTATAGGTTCTCCTGCTTGAGCAGGAAGCTAGACTAGAAGACCTCCAAGGTCCCTTCCAGCTCTATTCTATTCTATTCTATTCTATTCTATTCTATTCTATTCTATTCCAGAGCTTTTTTTTGTCATAGAACGCTCAGAACGGAGTTCCGGCACCTTTTTGGGATGGAACCTTGTAAGGTAGGCAAGGCGGGTTGTATAACGTGTGTGAGTTCTGGCACCTTTTTTTTTTTTATAAAAAAAGTACTGTTCTACTCTACTCTACTCTACTCTACTCTACTCTACTCTATTCTACTCTACTCTACTCTAGGAAATTTCTCCTTAGTTCCAAGTTGCTTCTCTCCTTGGTTAGTTTCCATCCGTTGTCAGCTTGACCCCCTCCTCTTTGTGGCAACCTCTCATGGCAGACTGGCAGTGAGGTGGCAGTTCTGACATTGTGACTGTCTGTGTACTAACTAAAATATCTCTTCTGATCACTCCAGCAGCTTTCCTCAAACAGCTCATGTCCAGATGGAAATCTCAGCCTCTGTGGAGGGTGCCAGGTGAAGGTGGGCTGGTTTTTAGATGCCCCTTAAACAAGGAAGCAGAAATTGCTCCCATTGCTTGCCTCTGAGATCTCCTGCTTGCATAGCCTGGCTCAGCCTTTGGAGATAACTCAATGCCCTCACCTAATGAAGCAGCCCTGCCTTCATTCCCCCAAGAAATCCACTTGAATGGGATCGATAAAGCAGAATTCTGTTACTCAGAGCATTTGGCCTATTTGCCACAAGAGATGATTGCTCTTCACCCCAATCATTCCCATTTCCCAATACACAGAGCAGAGAAAGCCTGGGTCTCTTTGCAGCTGCAACACAATCGTATGGTTTGTGTGAGGGTGTGTGTGCGTGTGTCCCTGCGTGCACAGAATCGGCTGTAATCGCTTTGCTGTCAGTTAGGCTTTTGTACAAAGCAGACAAAGGAGGTTTTTTTTTTTTTGTCACCGAGTGAGTGAAGAAGCATCAAGAAGATGACCAATCTGAGGAGAAGGGAAATGTTCACCTGAGACAGAGAGAGCTTCCATGTTCAGAGACAGTATACCTTGGAGCCCTGACAGTTGCTGTCCTGCAGAATTACAGAATAACAGAGTTGGAAGGGACCTTGGAGGTCTTCTAGTCCAACCCCCTGCTCAGGCAGGAAACCTTATACCAGTGGTGGCGAACCTATGGCACGCGTGCCAGAGGCGTCACTCAGAGCCCTCTTTGTGGGCACGCGTGCCATGCCCCAGAGATGGCAACCATCCCTCTTCAACCAGCCGCCTGAGGTCTCATGTGGCCAGATGCATCCGGGCACAGCTGGTTTCCCTTCCCCCCCCCCGTCCCATCCCTCCTGGCCTCACATGCTTTCCTTTTCCTGGGCATGACCCACTGCATCGCCTCCTCAGCTGTCAGCCAGCTGTCCAGCTCAGAGGCAGCTTCTCTGAACTGCTGGCAGTGGGCTGTAGAGCCCCAGAGTGCGCCAGTCAAGGAGCCGACAGACTGTGGCTGCTGACAGACACCGTCAGCCCCCATGCGCTCGCTGTGTGTGGGGGCCAATGGTGTCAGGCAGCAGCTGCCCCGGCCCCTGCCTTGACTTGCCCCGTGGCAATGGTACCGCCACCCTGCCTCGCCTCATCCCTCAGGATGAGTCTCCTGCCCACTGCCCCACCTGCCTGGATCTCCCCCAACCCTGCCCGGCCCCCAAAGGCATCCCTCCCCATGAGCAAGATTGAGGTGACCATGCACACTTTGGCCACATCCATCCATTGCCATGACCACCACAGCCATGCCCGCCCAGTGGGCCACGTCCCACCTGGCACCCAGCGATAAATAAGTGGGTTTTGGGTTGCAGTTTGGGCACTCGGTCTCTAAAAGGTTCGCCATCACTGCCTTATACCATTTCAGACAAAGGGTTGTCCAATCTCTTCTTAAAAACCTCCAGTGTTGGACCAAAGGGGAGTGGACTTTCAAGAGGCAAGTGGACTTTCTTTGTTTTTTTCTGGAAGAAACTGAAGAAGCTTCTTGGATGAGAAGCAAAACGTCCTTAAGGAGAAACAAGAAAGTCCACTTGCCACTTGAAAAATTACCTTTG